AGGAAGGGGCGGGCAGGGCGAGGGAGTGGGGCAGGGCCAGGGCTGTGCCCTGTGGGACAGGTCAGGGGCCTGGGGGGGGAGGGAAATGTCTTAGTGCGATATGACATGGGAGGGGGAATTCCTGCCACCCCAGAGTGGGGCTTGGCCCTGTGGTAGTGGGGAAATCTGGGAGTTGCCTGCAGAGGCTCTGCTCTGCGGAGGATTGTGGAGACCCTGTCACGTGTGTGGCACTGGCTAAAGCTGGGGCTGGTCAGTGCAGCCTGCGAGCCCATGCGATGTTGGTCAGGGAGAGAGAAACCTTAAGGGCAGCTTGTTTGTCCCTGGCCTTTCCAATTCATTGAAATTGGTCCAGGCGTTTGAGAGAGCTAAAATGCATTTACAATTGACCCAAGCTCCTGAACTGATCCATTTCCTCGTGTGTGAAACTGGCCCAGTGATTTCCACGCATGTCTGGGTGTGCCAGGCTATGGGTCAATGGTCACCGTGTAATGGTAATCTGAGAGAAAACAAGTGACAGCTACTTCAACAAAAGCTGCCTTCTGATGAGTCACTTGTTAGCTACAAGTTGGAATGAAGTTACTATTCGCTCTAAGTCCCACACATGATGTGTGTTGATTTGAGAGAGAACTGAATAGTGAAGTCACTATCCTATGCTGTGGTACTTGCCACAAGAGTGAATCATAGAACACTAGAACTGGAACGGATCTTGAGAGGTCATCAAGCCTAGTCCTCTGCCCTCACAACGGGGCCAAGCAACAGATCATCCCTGATCGATGTCTATCCAGCCTTCTCTTAAATATCTCCAATGATGGAAACTCCACAACCTCCTGAGGCAATTTAAGTCATAGGGGTATAGATTTGATAGCACACTTCAACTTCTTGAAGGGAAGTTCCAAACAGGATGAAGAGAGGCTGTTTGTTCTCAGTAGTGACGGATGGCAGAACAAGGCGCAATGTTCTCAAGTTACAGTGGGGGAGGTCCAGGTTGGATATTAGGAAAAACTATTATACTAGGAGGGTGAGGAAGCACTGGAATGAGTGGTGGAATCTCCATCCCAAGAGGTTTTTAAATCCAACTACACACTCAGCCCGGCAGAAGAGTCTGTTCTATCTCGGGGACTCTTTTTGCCCCCTCCCCCCCCACTAACATGATACAGTTCTGCGGTGATCTGGAAGCCTACTTTCGCCGTCTCCGTCTCCGTCTCAAGGAATACTTCCAACACAACACTGAACAGTGCAGTGACACACACATACCTTCTCACCAACAGCACAAGAAGAAGAACTCCACATGGACTCCTCCTGAGGGTCGAAATGACAATCTGGATCTCTACATAGAATGCTTCCACCGACGTGCACAGGCAGAAATTGTGGAAAAACAGCATCGCTTGCCTTGTAACCTCAGTCGTGCAGAATGCAATGCCATCCACAGCCTCCGGAACAACTCTGACATTATAATCAAAGAGGCTGACGAAGGAGGTGCTGTTGTCATCATGAACAGACCTGGCTACCTAAAGGAGGCTACCAGACAACTCTCCAATACCAAATTCTACAGGCCTCTTTTCTCAGATCCCACTAAGGAATACACTAAGAAACTGCACCATCTGCTCAGGACACTCCCTGCACAAGCACAGGAACAAATCGACACACCCTTAGAGCCCCGACCAGGATTGTTCTTCTATTACCCAAGATCCACACACCTGGAAATCCCGGACACCCCATCATCTCGGGCATTGGCACTCTCACTGAAGGACTGTCTGGATATGTGGACTCTCTACTCAGACCCTACGCCACCAGCACTCCCAGTTACCTCTGTGACCTACTGATTTCCTGAGAAAACTACAATGCATTGGTGATCTTCCAGAAAACACCATCCTAGCCACCATGGACGTAGAGGCTCTCTACGCTAACATCCCACAGTGGCACTGCTGTGCCACAATACACCAACATTTTTATGGCTGAGCTGGAACAACACTTCCTCAACTCTCGTCCACTGACGCCCCTTCTCTACCTACGCTACATCGATGACATCTTCATCATCTGGACCCATAGGAAGGAGACTCTGGAAGAATTTCAACAGCTTCCACCCCACCATCAACCTCAGCATGGACCAGTCTACATGGAAGGTCCATTTCCTGGACACCACGGTGCAAATAAGTGACGGTCACGTGACATGCATCTGACGACCGGGTCTTTGCCCACGAAAGCTTATGCTCCAACACTTCGGTTAGTCTATAAGGTGCCACAGGACTCCTCGCCGCTTTTACAGACCAGTCAGTTTAACTTCTGTGCCAGGGAAGATAATGGAGCAAGTAGTTAAGGAATTCATCTGGAAGATAATAAGGTGATAGGTAACAGCCAACATGGATTTGTAAAGAACAAATCACATCAAACCAATTGATAGCTTTCTTTGATAGGAAAACAAATCTTGTGGATAAGGGAGAAGCGGTGGACATGGTATACCTATACTTTAGTGAGGCATTTGAAATGGTCTTGCATGGCCTTCTTATGGATAAACTAGGGAAATACAATCTAGATGGGGCTTCTGTAAGGTGGGTGCATAACTGGCTGGATAGCCATTCTTGGAAACCGGTTATTAATAGTTCAGAATCATGCTGGAAGGGCATAACAAGTGGGGTTGCGCAAAGGTCTTTTTTGGGACCAGTTCTGTTCAATATCTTCATCAATGAGTTAGATATTGGCATAAAAAGTACACATATTAAGTTTGCAGATGATACCCAGCTGGGAGGAGTTGCAAGTGCTTTGAAGGACAGGGTCATAATTCAAAATGATCTGGACAAACTAGATTAATGGTCTGAGGTAAATAGGATGAAGTTTAATAAGGACAAATGCAAAGTGCTTCACTTAGGAAGGAACAATCAGTTTCACACATACAGAATGGGAAGCGACTGTCTAGGAAGGAGAACTGCAGAAAGGGATCTAGGGGTTATAGTGGACCACAAGCTAAATATGAGTCAACAGTGTGACTCTGTTGCAGAAAAAGCAAACGTGATTCTGGGATGCATGAACAGGAGTGTGGCAAGCAAGACAAGAGAAGTCATTCTTCTGCTCTACTCCGTGCTGATTAGGCTGTAGTTAGAGTATTGTGTCCCGTTCTGGGTACCACATTTCAGGAAGGATGTAGAGAAATTGGAGAGGGTCCAGAGAAGAGCAACAAAAATGATGAAAGGTCTGGAGAACATGAGCTATGAGGGAAGACTGGAAGAACTGGGTTTGTTAATTTAGAAAAGAGAAGATTGAGGGGGGCCATGATAGCAGTTTTCAAATATCTAAAAGGGTGTCACAAGGATAAGGGAGAAAAACTGTTCGGCTTGGCCTCTGAGGACAGGACAAAAAGCAATGGGCTTAAATTGCAGCAAGGGAGGTTTAGGTTGGACATTAGGAACAGCTTCCTATCCGTCATGGTGGGTAAACCCAGGAATAAGTTGCCTAGGGAGGTTGTGGAATCTCCATCTCTGGAGATATTTAAGAGCAGGTGAGACAGACAGGGATGGTCTAGACAGTGCTTGGTCCTGCCGTGAGGGCAGGGGACTGGACTCGATGACCTCTCGAGGTCCCTGCCAGTCCTAGTGTGCTGTGATTCTATGAAAGAGGGTGTGACCTTTCATATTGACTGACAGCGACTCTAAAACCTGCGATGTGAGTCACCTCCTTTTTCGTTTCAGATACACTCTTCCAGCTGAAGGTGAGTGTGGCCATTACAGGATTTCCCTTCCTGCCCCGTGTGGGGATTCATTATTCTACACCTCCTAGCACTGGCTGCCCTGTGTGGCGTTGCTCCATTGAAAGTCCACAAGCCCAGCTGAGCTGTTGATCCAACTCCGTCCCGTGGTGACTTGTGGTATGGCTGGGAGGTCCGTACAAAACCCAGCTGGCTTCCTGGAACAGGCTGCTTAGAGTCCGGACTGTCAGACCCGGTACTGGGCTAGGCTAGCATTGATCATCTTTAAGAGGCAGCTACTCCGGGTTTGTCCCATGGTCTTAAATTTGGCTTCTTAAATGCGTTCTGCTCCCACCTTCTCTAACCCATTTGATGGCGAGTTCAATGCGATGGAAATCTCTCCCATAACCTTCCTTTAACTTCATCACCTATAAAGCAATATTGTTCTGTCTTCCTGAGGCTTTCTCTGCCTTCCAGTGCTATCCCTCCAGCAGGGTGGGTACAGTGCCATCGAATGTGTGTTTTCACTGATAGTCTTCCAGCGTCAGGGGGCCACCCGGGCTTTCTGTACCCAGGGGCTGGCTTAGGTGAGCAGCTGCATAAAGAGCCCGATATTTAAGGTGGGGCGGTGAAAGAGCAGGAGCTTGTGTCTTGTATCCCGGTGGAGGGAGCAGTCGCAAGGTCCCTGGTGAAGCCATGACTCAGACCCTGCAAACGTCATCGAGAATGCTGACTGCCCTGCACTTGCTGGTGTAAAGGTGTCAGGAGGTGGCTGTGCAGCTCAGGGTGGCCTCAGGTGCGAGCAGCAAGTCGGTTGGGTGCGTTAGGTCGGACGGGCCCTTGGCTTGGTAATTGGAGTCAAGGGAGCCGGAGCCTGTAGATCACATTCTCCACCAGAGAGAGGTGGAACACATCACACCAAAAGCTGCCTCCGTTCCCAGAGGGAAACAGATCCCGGAGCTTTGCCTTTCTGAAAATCTGCGTAAAAAAAACAGCAGGAGGGGGAGCCGTGTTCTCTAGAGAGCGTTTGTCACCTGTTCTGGGGCCACAGCTACCAGCAGCATAAAGCCAAGCCCAGATCTGTCATGCCTGTCTCCAAGGGAGACTCCTCCCCATCCCCTCCAGCGCCAGCCGGTCCCTCTGACAGGCCTTGTGCGGTGAGTCTTTGCTAAGCTAAGGAGCCTGTTCCAGACGCCTCCCGGAGAGCCCTATGGTCCCTGCCTCTTAAGCCAGAGGCTGAAATCACAAGGGCCTCCTCTGCGATTTGGCAGCCGGAGAGCGGACAAGGCTAAAGCCTAGCCCAGGCCATGCTGCGTGGCTGGCCAAGGAGACAGGCTGCCTTCCGTACCCTCCCACCTGCTCCCTGCGCCCCTTTGCTCTTGCTGCCTCCTCTGTATGCAGGCACGCCCGTCACTCTGGCCCCCGTCTCGCTGCCTCTCGGCTCGCGGCAAAGAACTGGCCCCTCGGGCATGGG